GAGTATTGCAAATGTTACTTATGTATTGACCTGTAGTCAAGTACGAATTAATGAATGTCTTTCATTAAATCTGTCAATTCTAAATTTCTTTACACCGTACCGAATTCTAATTTGTAATTGTCATATTGTATCTCATCGCTCATGTACATTGCGGTTGGTGGAGTTGTGTGTACTAAAGGCAATTGGGTTTGTTTTGTGCGCAGAATGTGCTGCGGGAGCTGGAGCAGAAGAAACCGCAGTTGGACGAGCTGGTACACACAGCAGAGAACTTGAAGGCGGACTCCAACCGGCAACAGCTGCACGGGAAAGGTGAGTTGTCGCATCAGCATCCCAAAATCTTTTTGAAATTTTTTATCCTTCCATTTAATAGAAAATCGCAAGATTGTTGTTTCCTGTTCTATTCGCTCAGTTGTTGTTACTGTTAAACGTTGTTGTGTGAAATGCAGTGAAATAGACTCTCATGAATGTACGATCTACTCGACTCCTAAAGAGACAGATACATCGATTACCTTTTGACCACCTATTTAATGCGATACTAGCAACTTTATCCAGTAGCTTCGCCGCCTTTGAATTCAGAGAGGCTGTGGAAGATATCGTGGGTTATCTGAGATCGTGAGTATGACAGCAAGTCCTCTATTTGGTGTATTGCGCGAGGCAAATTACCACAGGAGCAACACGAAGCCGCTTTCACCAGACGAACCACAAATATTCAGCAGCAAAAATCGACCTGTTGCATTTAGATGATTCTGAAGGACAGATTCGGGAAACATGGCAGAGAATTTGCTCTAATGCACTGAGCTTCAAATAGTCTAATTCCCTTACTCCTGGAACCAGTACTGCTATTTTGCTGCTCGCAGTTTGGCATCGCGCATCGTTCTGTTGAAAGACCCATCTCTAGTCGAAAGCTCTGCCGACATGAGCAGATATAATTGGCCCCCAACAATGCCCAGATAGTGTATATATGTCAATAATTTCTGTACGAATATAATTCGCCCTTGACTTTGCCACGAAAACACTGCCCAGTCCATAACCTCGACCTGACTCTGCCCAACATTGGTCGCAGATGCCACGACCTTCGATGAAAACAGGCAAACACGCCCGTGACCGTGGACGTGATGAAGAAGGAATCGGGGGTTATCGAACGAGGTGGCCTTTTCCAGATGATGTCGTGCCAGATGCATCCGCCGAAGGCGTGAAGCGTGAGGGCGCGAGTGGGCGTAGCCCCAGCAGCAGCGGGCGAACAGTGCGCTGTGAACCATCCGGGCCACGCGATTCTACCTTTGGGCACCTCCGCGAGCTGTGGGCGTGTGGTCGTTCCGAGCAGCATTCAAGGCCTTTCCCTGGCCTGGATGTGTATACGGACAACGTCGTGACGTTGTTCCCCTGTTTGAAACGCGCTGACAACAGCAACGCGAGCCAAGCGAGATAACAAGGTTTCAGATATGCTGAAATCAAGGCGCCGTGCCGTCAGTTGTGAATCAAATTCGGATAGTCCCGGCCCGTGACACAGATGCCCGTGAAACCTCTATCATTTTAACATATTGCCGTTGCGAGTTCCACACGTGGAAATGTTCTTGGATGGTAATGCAAGGGTGTGTGAATATAACCGGGATACGGGACATCAAATGCGAAACTATCTAAGGCAATGGATGTTTTGTCATCTTGTTACGTTTAATTTTGTCGCCACGAGAAATTACGGTGTGAACCGCTTAAGATATTTGTAATTCTAACATTTTTTTGTTTGATAAACATGGTTCGTTTCGTTTGCATGTCTCTAATAAAGTTATTTAATTCTGAAAAATTTGTAAATTATTTAAGTCAGACTAATGTTCCTGAACAAATGTTTTAACAACGATAAATTCATAGATAATCTTTTTGATGCTCTATTCTCTGGTTGCCGTGAAAACGAGGGCTGACGCGTGTGTTAAGTCTGCACACAAATTTGTTAATTATGACCCTGTTTGACTCACGTGCAACGTAATATCGCTGCGTACATCGTGTAGATGAGTGTCAACCTAAATGTGCATTGTTTTTTAATCTGTGTGGTGTTGTGTAGTTATCGCCATCAGTTTCATTGATGATTATTCCCAACCACGCAGTTTCGCGTGCGTAATGCTCTGGTGTTTTTGCTGGTCCTCTGACGGACGAAAAAGCGGCGGAGGAATGTGACGTGTGTAGCGGGCCCAGCGCGTTTACTTTTTCGCGACGAGACGATTATCATAAAAAAAGTGGCTAATTCGAGCCGCCAGTAACCACGCGTGTGTGTTTTCCTACATTTGATCTATTTTCGGTGTTCCATTGATGTTCGCCATCCGCCGGTGTTAGCCGTCTGATTGCTGTAAAGGATTGTTCCACTGAAAATCCCGGTGTCGTAGACCCGAGCAACTGCGATCTCAACCTGCGTGGCAGCTGGCGCTTCCTTCGCGGCCGCCCATTTGCCAGTGAGTCGGTTGCCCGCGGATTCGATCTCTGACGAGATATGTTTGAGGGAGAGCCGCCC